TGAGGCAGAGGCAGAGTTTGGCATAATCAGCTGACAATTCCTGACATTATTTTCTACAGATAACTATGTTATTTGAAAAAATAAAAATACATAAGACTTATTTGTTTTAGCCTGCCAAAAAGAAGTCTCCTTTCCTTCTACCCATCCCAATTCCCTGGGAATATACACTGAGGCTAAGTCATATACAACAGTTGTGGAGTCTTCATTCCAGCCTCACTCTTCCTACCTGTAGAATCTTATAAAGCTCCAAGATGGAGGCCATGTGGCTTGAAGTTTCAGAGTCAAGGCCCCCAATGGCAGCTACCAGGTTCTTCTCAACACCACACTTGTAGTTGGGGATGGTTTTCCTATGATGAGAGATGAGGTTCAAAGTATTCTGATAAGTCATCTTTGCATCACTGTAGCTGTCATAGATCTGGAACCCCAAAGTGATGTTGGATAAAATGTTGGGGTTCTCGTTGACCTCATTCACAGCAAAGACTAAGGAAAGGACATGCTGGTAGTTCTTTGGCAGTACGCTGAAACAATAGAGGGATTATGCATGTGGTGGGTCTTCCTGCTTCTGGTGGACAGACCTCATGTTTTGAAAGTGGATAAAGACACAAACACACACATTATCCCATAAGATTATAATCTGAGGACATGCGATGAAATTGAATTTTGAAAGATTCAAGGGAGACAAAAGAAAGCAAACACTTAGGTAAACTATGAAATTTATTCCCATAAGTGTTAGCGATGACTACCAACTTATATAACTTTGTATGAAGATTTGACATTTCTAATGAATTATATAGCTATTAAGCACAGTGGCTAGGTTCTCTCCCCGGCATTGGAGGCACCATGCCTTTGAATCCCAGTTTCTAGGAATAGGAGCTGAGAAGACTGCTTTAATGCTCAGGACTTGCTTGTGGGTTTCTCATGGCCACCCGTTGACTACTGTGAGTGTAGGGCTATATAGGCCTTTGGCCAGACCCAGCAAGGCCTTTCTTACATTTGCTGGTTCTTATGACCTCTCTGTGGAGAGCAGAATGAAATGTATGGCACAACTGCTGAAGGGTAGAGTATGAAAAAAGTTCAGAAGGGGAAAATATGGCTGCAGATGAAATATGAATTTCAAAGGATGTCAGTGTTTTGGTTTAAAAAACATTTCAGGAAATCTGAATTAGTTAGGTGTCCCTTTTAATGTAAATTGAGCTAACGTTCTCATCTATTCCTACTTATGGACAGTCCAGGCGATGGTCCCATGTCATTGACTCTAGCTCAATCTACTGATGGTCTGCCTGTCCTCTCTACTACAAATCCAACTAGCGACCTGCCAACACTGAGGAGACTGCTTGTTGATCATACTATCATGTTTATTATCTATTTTTTTATTATTTACCTACATAACCAGGAGCTTTCCCCCCAAAAGAATAAAAATCATGTCCTTACACATATTCATCATCAGTTGTTTCCTCTGGCTTCTCCTCGAACTCTACTGAAGTGAAGACAGGTTCAAGGAATTGTGAAGTGATGCCACCAATAACAAAGTGCCCTGGCTGATAATACTGGTGTTGGGTGTGGAGGAGGTCAATCACACAATGCAAAGCAGAATGTTCCAAAAATAGAGGGAACACCATGAGTAGGACCCAGAAGGGTAAACTTAGCATTATTGAATTTCTCCTCTTAACCATAAATCACCTGTTTAAAATGCTTATCTTCACCCTATATCAGCATAACAGGTCTAGTCTCTGCGTATAAATGGTAGAATAGCTGTCATTGGCACTAGGGTGGTTTTTTATGAGCATTCTGCTGTTTCTCTGTGGCATATGGGCTTTAAAATACCTTACAGATATTGCTAGATAAAGAATGAATTGCTGTGTGTTAAGATAATAACATGGTACACATTCCCAGCGGAGTTGCTAGGTCTGTGGCACCATGTGCAGCAGAAGCATTGAAAAAAATATGTTTTGCCCCCTTGAGAAGATATTATCTGTTGCATTGCAGATTGGGTAGAGCACCTGGTTTCAGGAAGATCTAAATGAAAATAATAGTGGATTAGCCAGGCCATGGGAGAAAATGGAAAGGCTGGTGTTCCATTATGCTCCAGAGAAGGGAATGTTCCACAGTATAGAAAATGCCCTGCATGAAAAAGTGGTCAGGTCCAGCATCTTGACTAACAAAGGAAGGAAGAAATAGTTCACTGAGAACTTGGCCAGTGTTAACAGGTGGTTGCTTTTCAGTTTTGCAAGCATGACGTCCATTAGCATTGAGTACTTTGTTGCTCGCTGTCAGGCTGCCAGAAAAGCCCCTCTGTCTGCTGTCTAATTCTCTAACAGAACCAGGCACTGTGATTGCAGAAATCAACTTTATAGCTCAAGTAATCAAGGAGTCGGCACACAGTACATCCATCAGATAAGCACGTCAGTTGCAGAAGCTAAAGTTCTGTCCTCTCTCCCACTCATTTATACCTCTGTCCTTACATTTTTTTTCACTGTGACTCAGCCTTCTTAATTGTTCTAGCCTTTTCTCATCCCTTCTTATCCCTCTCTGGGAGTGGAGCAGGGGAAGGAGCTGAATCAGGACTGTACTGCAGAGCAGGAGACACAGTCCTCGCTCCTTCTCTATCAGCATCTGTGATTACCTCAAGCTGCTCCCCTTCACCCTCACTCTACGCTGGTGATTCCTCCCTGTCCCACCAGTCTGAACCTGGTTCCAAATGCCTTTCACTCTCAGATGCCTCCTGGACCACTAGCTGCCACCACTCTTCCTCATCCTGCCAGACCCTGACACTTGCTGTGTGCAGTATCACGGCTTACCTGATAGGATGCCTGGGTTCAGGACAAGGCCTCTTTCTCGCCCACATGAGGGATTAAGTTGACAGATCAAAGTGATCTGTGGTGGCAACAGGTATAAAGGGGATGTTTATTAAAACACCCAAGGAAAAGCCAGCTCAGAGCTGCATAGCTTAAATAAAATGAAAATGTGGGACAGGGGAGTGTGGGCAGTCCCAAAGCACCTCAGAGTAAAGAGGCAATGGCACATCCCCTCTTTAAGAGAACCTTTTTTTACCCAGAAGCTATGACCCATAAACTATGACCCAGTGACAGAGGTGCTAAGTGGGGCAGGGGGCTTCCCCTGAAAATTTTCAAGGAAGGGGCAGGGCTCCCTCAACATTTCATGGCAGCCATTGTGGTGCAGGCCAAAGGGCATGCTCGCATCTCCCCACTTTGCCACCGCAATTGATGGCACACGGGCCACATAATGCCAGCATGCTGTGATCCGTGCGTAAACCATGGGGGTTCTGCATGACATGTCAACACACACCCCAGTGTGTGCAAGTGACATCAGAACACCCCACAGGATGTGTGCATGGCCTGCTGACATCACACTGCCCAGGCACCCTGATCACAGGGGCAAGGCAGCACGGGGGCAAGACACTTGAGATGGTGGACAAAGTCCTTTTCAATCACGGGGCAGGGCCCTCTCAAAGTAAACACACCCTTTGACAGGGATAAAATTGGAATTACTTGTGGAATATAATCAAAGCACATTTCGGAGAGGAGGGAGAAATAGTGGCTTACAGTGGAACATTAATATGCTCCTGAGATGTGGGGTCTCTTGAGGTCAACATCAGAAAAGGATAATAAAAGAAACAATCCAACCAAGAAAGATTTCACCTGGCTGGTGCCATGTATGTAGGACATAAACAGGATCATTTGCAATACATTTAAAATTATGGAATTTGCACACCTTATGAGAGAACAGCACTACCAACACAAGCATTGCAAAGCTTGACAGTTGCTTTCACAGGACAGAATCAGAACTCAAAATGACCATAACACATTGGAGAACTGGGCTCAAGTTACAAAATGAATTTCAATAAGGAATAACATAATAAGAACCAGATTCCCAAATATAAGATGGAGGAAACTTGGCTTACTAGCAGTACATGGGGAAAAGATCTAGGGGTCTTGGTGGACAACAAATTTAACATGAGTCAACAGTATGATGCAGCAGCAAAGACCTAATTCTATTCTAGGCTGCATCAACAAATGTATAGGGTCCGGATCAAGGGAAGTAATAGTACCACTCTATTCTGCCTTGGAATACTGTATCCAATTTTGGACATCACAATGGAAGAAGGATGTTGTCAGAGCTGCCCTAGGTCCCAGCTCACAAAGGACCAACGCCAGTTCGTTGTTATATAAAACAGTCTTTATTGAAGCTCAGTTCCGCTTTCACAGCCGCGGCGCGCAGCTCTACGTCTCAAACTCTAGACCGCCGAAGCTCCGTCTGAATCTCCTCCCCCCAGACACCAGTTTAAGACTCTAGCCTTGCTCCACCTCTTCCGTTGCTCTCTTCTCCTCTGGGCCCGCCTGTCCGCTGGGGTCTCGCCTCTCCTAGACTCTTCTGACGCTGAGTCTCCTGAGTCCTCCCCCTCCCTCCGGCGGGCTTTAGGACCTGGTTCCCAATCTGGGTTTCCTGCTGTGCCGCGCGCCTGTACATTCGAACTTGGCGCGTGCGCCCAGCCGGAGTCCCCGCTGACTTTGGGAGTCCCCGCTGGCCCCTTGCTTCTGGTGTGTCCCCCTGGGACCCCCCTTGCCCTGGCCATCGGCGCCCCCCTCTGGGAATCTTCTGATTCGCTGGAGAGACTCATGGAATCTCTCGGGCCACTTTCATACTCCCCTACGCTGCCCTCAGATTCTTCCCCTTCGCTCTCCATCTCCTCTCTCCCCTGTGCCTCTGCTCCTGAGCCCCTGACAGATGTTGACAAGGTGGAGCTTGTACAGAATAGAGCAATCAAGATGATCAAGGGTCTGGAAACCAAGCCTTAGGAGAAACAGTTGAAACATTTTTTTATGAGCAAATCTTTCAACTAGTACTAAACAACACATATTTTTATACTGGAGCAGGTTGCAATTACTGTAAGGTTTTCCACATTTTGACGATTGCAGTTCTGACAGTAAGCAACATCTATATCAAGAGAACGTGAAAGCTGAACCCTTCCCAAACACACAAACCTTAAAACATGTAAAAGGTTATCCACTATAATGATTTTAATAGTTAGATTGTTACTTATTTCTCTTTTTTAGCTGCTCTTTTGAGTTGAGTTCAGGCTTGAAGACAATGATATAACATTTTGGGGAGAAGATACAACCCAAGATTCCAGCACTGGAGGCCAAGATGGAGAAGATCTCCACGGCCACTATGTACTTCCCTTTGGTGCTTAAGTAGGATGGAACAAAAGAAAGCCACACACTGCAAAACACCAACATGCTGAAAGTGATAAATTTGGCTTCATTAAAAGTGTCCGGCAGCTTCCGAGCAAAGAAAGCCACAATGAAGCTGACAAGAGCCAGCAATCCCATGTAACCAAGAACAGAGTAGAACATGTTGGCTGAGCCTTCATTGCATTCCACTATGACTTCTTCAGGCAGAGAGTGCATGTCCAGATCTGGGAATGGATGGTCAGTACCCAGCCATAGCATACAAATACTTGCTTGGATAAATGAGCAAAAGAGAATAATAGAGGTGGAAAATCTTGTCCCCACCCATTTCCTCATCTTGGATCCTGGTTTGGTGGCCATGAAAGCCAGAACCACCGTGAGGGTTTTAGCCAAAACAGAAGAAACAGCCACTGAGAAGATGATACCAAAGGCAGTTTGTCGTAGATTGCAGGTCAGTAACTGGGGGCGCCCAATGAATAGCAAGGAGCAGAGGAAGCAGAGCAGGAGGGAGATGAGCAGGGTGTAGGTGAGATTCTGGTTGTTGGCTTTGACAATGGGAGTGTTTTGATGTTTGATGAAGATTCCAAACACCAATGCTGTAGTTGCAGAAAAAGCCAGAGCCAAAAGAGCCAAACTGATGCCTAAAGGTGCTTCATAAGATAAGAAGTTTTCTTTCTTGCTGATGCACTGGTTTCTCTCCTGGTTAGGATACTGATCTTCTTGGCACTGGAAGCAGTCATCCATATCTTGCAGTATAAAGAAATCAGGATTATAGTTATAGTATTTTCAGTCTCACTGAGATACAAATATTTATGCTTTAGGATCAGGAAACCTTGAATTTCACTGTACTATAATTGAATGTAATTTATAGTATACATGATACACAACATTGTCTTTTTCAGGAAATTGTTAGAGTGTTAACATATTTTGTCTTTAAGATAAGCTAATTTTGGAAGATTCTTTTCAGTGGATAATTAAATGAGAATTAAATCTAAATGGTAAGCTCCATAAATGTTTGTTTGTGTTTACACATGCATAGAATTGAAAGGTGTGTTTAGAGAGAAAAAAGTCCCCATTCTAGCAATAGGAGCTTTCCAACCTATCTGAATGGAGAAATAATAATTAAACATTAATGTTTCACAGCTTACCAGTAGAAATGGTTGTAAAATAGGAAGTTTCATTTACCAATATTCAGAGCATTTCCTATCCCAGAAAGGAAGCCTAATGTCCACAGAAGACTAAAGGTGCTAATATAATTCAGTTAACACACCTAGCAATATGGTCAAAAAAAATACTCTTGAATTGACATTTCTAGAATTTTGGTGATAAGTAAGTTGCTCTCCATGCAATCCATGAAGTTTTCAGGTGTGGAGGTAAGTAGAAAATATATTGGCTAGCAATTTATAATATTGCTTATGATAAAACATTTGTACAGTGGTACCTCGGTTTAATAACAGTAAATATATTTCATAAAGAATAAATGACATTGGGGGAAAAAGAAGGTAGCTGGTAGTTGCCGGTTGGTTGGTTCTACTGTTAGTTGCATCTTTGATTGAGAACGTGGGAGTTTGGTGACTTCAAGCAAACACTGTCTGGAGGAGTTTTTGAGGACAGGTAAGATATTGATTATAAACCTATGCTCTGCTATGAAGGAGCTTTGAAAACAAAAAAGGACTAAACCCTCTCTTGGGCTCAAGGGACAGAAGCACATTGCATTCAAATATTTAGAGAGAGAGAGAGAGAGAGAGAGAGAGAGAGAGAGAGAGAATATGAATGAATAATACTTGTTGTAGTATACTTGTTGACAACCGGACAAGTAAAGGTTTATCTTCAAATCTTTTGTAGGGCATCTATTTGTTCACAAATAGCTAACAAAAAACATGTTCTCAATATAGTTGATATACTAGCATAAAGTCCCCTACCTGTCTGGTATGAAATCTTCCCTTCTGGACATGGAGTACAATCATAGCAGCAAAAAGGTTCTCCATCTTTCCTTTGTCTGCTGTAACCTGGATGGCAGTGGTCATTGCACAAGGCAAGGGGCACCACCTGCCCATAAAACAGAAGTCATTGCATGTATTCTATTCTATTTGTGTTTGTTCCTTGCCTTTTCATCAACATGGTTCTGAATTGAAATAAGGCACCCAGAGGTTTTTTGTTTTAATCAAATACCACCACCAACTTTACAATTGTTGTTTCAATCACCAATATTTGTGCATATTCAGCTTAAAAAGTTCTTCCACAGAATGATTGCAATAGCTCTAACCCTTTGCTGCCAAACACACTACACCAACTACCTTTCACTGGTCAACACATCTTGGTTGAACTAGATAGTCTAGGCATTTCAACCAGTAAATGATGGAAGAGCTGCAGGGTTTTAAACCCTGGAAACCAAGATCACTAGAGTGACATGTAAACAACCCATCCCTAACCATACAAAGAATCAATGCAGCTAAAAGGAACTCATTCAGCAGGGTGTACATGATGATGAAACAAATCTGGTGAATGTCTACCTATAGACCTCAGAAGCTGCAATTGGGTCCTACCTGGTTAAAACTCTGGTGCCATGTAATGATCTTCTCATCAATGGAGAAATCACTGCCCAGTGGTGCTTGGGGATCCATCTTCCCAACTTTCACTCTTAAGAAGGACTTATTTGGGAAAGTCACCCAGTTGATAATATCAAATCCACCTTCTAGCTCACGTTTCTCATTAAAAAAGACAGTGTCACCAGCACTGTTGTTAAACAAGATATTCCTCAGGAAAGGTTGAAGCTTCAGTGGAAAAAAGAGAATGGTAAATTGGGTAGAAATAGAGAACACACTACAAAGATTCTGTTTTCTCATGCTGGGATCAATTCACAGTATTTGTTGAAACTCCCCTTGAGTTTTAAGGGGAGACATGCCTGTCTAAATTCCATTTTAGAAACTAAGAAAAAAAAATTACCTTGAAGTAGTAGCTGCCTTCATTGAATGTAAGTAAACCTTTTTTAGTTTTTCAAATTTGTGTGGTTTATTCTTAGCAACAGGTAGAAAGTGAGAAAATATCAGCAGAACACAAATAAACAGGTATAAATTGTGAAATTTCCTAATTCCTAGCTTCCGGGACGGTGCAAGTTGGATAAGTGGTTTTACTCTGCTAAAAAACGGGCTTCACAGCCTGTTTGGTCTCATATTTTCCCCACACATTTTGGACAGGAGCTTTAAATTTTAATTTACATATTTAATCCTCAACCCATATCCATCAATCCTAAGATCAACATTTCCATTCAACATTTTTCAGTACCTGCTAAAAACATACAAGCATTGCAATATTGGCAAGACTTTTGGCTTAAATTTGCCAGCATGCTTCCGTACAACTTACCGTATTTTTCGTCCCATAGGACGCTCCGTCCCATAGGACGCACCTAGTTTTTTTTGGGGGGGGAAATAAAGTGGGGGGAATTATTTATTTCCCCAAAAAAACCACGTCGGGGGACAGCGGGATGGCGGCGCTGCGCCTCCCCGCTGTCCCCCGAGCTTGTGGGGCTGGCTGATGTCTGCCCGAAGCACGGGGCGCTCTGCTTCAGCGCGCCCCACGCTACGTGCAGCAGGTTGCTATCCGCAGCCTAGGGAGCCCTGCGGGAGTTCCCGCAGGGCTCCTCAGGCTGCAGATATCTGCCCGGCGCGAGGGGCGCTCTGCTTCAGGGCGCCCACGCACTGGACAGCAGGCTGCTATCCGCAGCCTAGGGAGCCCTGCGGGAACTCCCGCAGGGCTCCCCACACTGTGGATATCAGCCCGGCGTGCGGGGCGCTCTGCTTCAGGGCGCCTCACGCGCCAGGCGGCAGGCTGCTATCCGCAGCGTGGGGAGCCCTGCGGAACTCCCACAGGGCTCCCTAGGCTGCGGATGTCTTCCCGAAGCACCGGGCGCTCTGCTTTCAGCGCGCCCCACGCTCCGGGAAGCAGGCTGCTGTCCGCAGCCTAGGGAGCCCTGTGGGAACTCCCGCGGGCTCCCCAGGCTTGCTGATAGCAATCCTAGCTTCAGTGAAAGCCTGTATTCGCCCCATAGGACGCAAACAGATTTCCCCTTCATTTTTGGAGGGGGAAAAGTGCTCCTATAGGGCGAAAAATACGGTAATACAACAAAGACTCTTGAACTGCTTATTGAATTTCACCAAACAAATGAAAGTGTGTTTTCCTTGACAAACCAGAATAAAGTACTTCAGTAGTTTTTATCACAATTGGATAGAAATATATGGCATGTTTATGTAGGGGGTGGGGGAGTTTACAAATGTGTTTGTTAGCACTTTTAAACTTAATTGTGGTATTTTATATCAGATCTCATTGAAATCTGAACCATCTATTGATAGTAAAAAGAAATATGTAACAAATATCCTTAATTTCTGAAGAGACAACTTTTTATTAGCAATAGATTTCTGCAGCCTATACTCAAGGAACCATGTGTTTGATTCTCACCTTCATTAGGAGCACTTCTGTGCCCTTATAATAATAAATACTGTACTTACAACTTTCCAAAGAACCGAATGAAAAAGCAACATTCTCTGTGGATGTTGAAGCCTCTGTATGTGCTCTCCAAGCACATTATGATTGGGCTATTCATTAAAAAAATGATCTGCTTTCCGTGTTAGACATTACCTGAAAATATTGTGGCTCAGGAAGTCCAACATAGTGCCCAAGCATCATCTCTCCATATTTGGTTCTGGATGCCAACATGGCATGCAAAGCATGTGCCACAGCATAGACAGCATTGTAGATGCTGTAGCTTTGGCTGGTCATTTGCATTTCAAAAAAAGCCCCAGGAAGGCTCTCCAGCTTCTCCTCACCAGTGCAGGATCCCTCCTCCGTTTCCACATCTAGGAACTGGCAACCAAATGCCTGTTGCCAGAAGAACCTGATAAAGCCATCAGCCTCAGAGTGGGGATTTAGGTTCAGGAGGAAATGGTGGAACCCCTTAACCTCACTGGAATGAATGGCAAAGGATAAGGCACCATGGAAGTTTTGTATATCCAGATCTCTGTGAAATGTTTCTGATGAGAAATCCCAGTCGGCAGTCATAACCCAGACCTTGTTTATTGGCCTCACACCATACATTACACCTGCTATTAGCATCCACTGCAAAAACTTCATGGTGTAAGTGTCTGCATTTACAACAAACACATTGACATTGGTTCTGCTTAGGGAAATGGCCACGTCTTGACATTTCTCCACCACATCATAAATGTTGAAAAAATGACTGGCACTTGGCAATCTTTCAATGCTGGCTGCACAGATTTCACTCAAGGAAAATTGGTGTGTCAGTGTCTTCACAAACATTTCTCCTTTATTGTCAGCTGTGACAAAGATCCCAACCCATACCCATTGGAAATACACAAGAAGCTGAACAATCCCATTGTATTGATTTTCTTCACTTGGTGTCATTTGGTATAAGGAAGAAATATGTTGTTTTGCACTCCGTGCTGCAGAATAGGTGATCTAGACATGAACAAAGGAGAGAGAGAGAGAGAAGGGGATCAAGGTCATACGATTAGCCCAGCAGAGACAGAAGTTCTGTTTAGCTCCTTGTACTGATTATCGTCTTCCAAAGCAACTACTCTATTCCGAATTTAAAAATGGAAAGCGTAATGCTGGTGGTCAACAAAAGAGGTTTAAAGACTGTCTCAAGGCAAATCTAAAAAAAATGTAGTATAAACACCGACAACTAGGAAACACTGGCCTGCGAGCGCTGCAGTTGGAGAACAGCCTTTACCAAAGGTGTCATGGACTTTGAAGACACTCAAACTCAGAACGCAAGGGAGAAACGTGCAAGGAGGAAGGCACGCTTGGCAAATCCACACTGTGATCAACTCCCACCCGGGAACCAATGTCCCCACTATGGAAGGACATGTGGGTCCAGAATTGGCCTCCACGGTCTCTTTCGGACTCATTGTTAAAACAGTGTTTATGGAAGAGAATCTTACTCGGCTACGAGTGATTGCCAACGAAGAAGACGAATTTAAGTCTCTGTTTCTGTTCAAGCTGGTCATTTTAGGAACTTTTAACATCAAGGCCTAGTGCCAGAGACTGTTGTTTATTCTTCTCCTTCATCCTATTTTTTAACTTTTGGACTCTGACATATGGCCTGTAAGCTAAGAGCAAGTATGATTTGGGAAACAGTATCCTACAAAGCAATGGGGCTCAGGATCGCTTAGCCCAATCCTAATTGATAATTGTATTCTTAAGAACCAAGTGTGATGAGAAGTTCTACATAGAGCTGATACTAGGTCTAGAGACACTCAGAGAGTTTTATATTACACTCGTTCTCCTGTTTTCCACTGGACCTTATATTGGAGTATAAACCATATAAACAATTTCACCATGAGATTAATTGAAACAACTGGAAAAAAAATGTTTGACATCAAGCTCCCCCTGCTTTCATCAGAAGCTTTTCTGTGACGCCAAAATATTTTTGTGTGTGACCTATTTTCCTATTTGCTGCAACTGGTGACTCTTCCTCACTCTAAAGCGAGTGCATCAGTGTCATCTGCTTTGTGTTTGTAACAAATCCTTTTCTCCCTTCACTCACACCCAAAGCCTGGGAATATACAATAATAAAACATGTCCCAGTTGTGAATGCTTCAACCCTATTAGAATCATGTTACCTGTGGAATCTTGTAGCAGCTTAAGATGGAATCCATGTAGATTGACGTTTCAGAGTCAAGACCCCCAATGACAGCTATCAGGTTCTTCTCAGCACCACACTTGTAGTTGGGAACAGTCTTCTCATGGCGAGAGACAAGATTCAAAGTATTCTGATAAGTCATCCTTGCATTGAAGTAGCTGTCATAGATCTGGAACCCCAGAGTGATGTTTAGTAAAATCTTGGCGTTCTCATTGACTTCCTTCACAGCAAAGACTAAGGATAGGGCATGCTGGTAGTTCTTTGGCACTGCACTGAAGCAAGAGAAAAAATATGATGCGTATAATGGGTTTCCCTGCTTTCACTGGTGTATAGTCTGCAGACTAATCCACACTGTCCATCATCAAACCTGTATATTTATTTCATATGGGAGAGAAGGGAGTTTCAATTCCATTAAATATTTGCTCCGTGATGCACAGAATCACCATAGCAAATATATACAGAATGCAAGAAGATGATGTTCAGTACTGTATATAAAGAGTAAACCTGCTCAAAAAATTGCTAATGCACCCATAGGGATTAGTTTGTGGATTTTGCTACTTGTCATCCTTTTCTGTTCATGATGCTTATGCATGAAAATTCATCACTTTCATTGTAAATTTTGCCTAATATACTCATGATTTTATGAAATTTTGCAACAGTTTTGTATGCTGTCTGTAACAAGAAACAGTATGTATTTATAGTGCCACTTTACCCTATCATTTGCATTTTTGTACATGCTATTTAGATGGAAAACTGCATTGCAGAATTCAGAAAAGTGTGAATTTGAAGGGATAGATCTTTTATTGTTATTGTTTAGTTGTTTAGTCGTGCCCGACTCTTCCCCTATTGTTCCAGCAATTGTGAAAGAGGCAGGCTGTTTTTAATTGTGAATGAAATCAAAGTACTCCCCCATCTCTATTTACAATCAGCCCAGGGGTGTCTCTTCTCCTTATTGACTCCAACTCCACCTACTGTTGGTCTCCCTGCTTCCCATCTTACAAGTCTCATTGAGCACCTGCCACCACAAGCAAATTGCTTCTGCTATCTAGTATTTTTCCGACTTGGGACTTTTTTACCCAGAGAATGAAAAATCTTCTTACGCATATTCATCAGCAAGCATTTCATTTGGCTTCTCCTTGAAGTATAGTAGAGTGAAGGAGGGTGAGAATAGCTGTGAAGTGATACCACCGATGATGAAGTGCCCAGGCTGATAATATTGGTGTTGGACATGGATGGGGTCAGTCACACAATGCAAAGCAGGATGTACTGAAAATAGAGGGAACATGATGGGTAGCAGCAAAAAGAGTACCTCTAATATCCTGAGATGAAAGTCTACTCTTCTTAACATTAAAGCACCTGCTTCAGTCTAAACTCATTATCATCCTTCACTGTCAACCTCCACTGACATCTGTTGCTATGAGCAGCTCAGGCTGTTGGTATAAGTGGTAGATCAGTTCTCATTGGAACTGGGTAGTCTTTATAAAAATTCTGAATTTCACTCTGGCATATACTTGTTGACACCAAAATGCTATGTGGCTATTGCCAGAGGAAGGCTGAATCACAGTGCCTTGAGATAATTTTAGGGTTCATAGTCCCTGGTGCATTGCAATCTAGTTGGCATTATGTGTAATAGAACCATTGAGCAAATCATGTTTTACTCCTCTTGACAAAGCTCTTCTGTCCTCTGTTGTGAGACAGGCAATACAGTGGTACCTCAGGTTACATACGCTTCAGGTTACATACGCTTCAGGTTACAGGCTCCGCTAAGCCAGAAATAGTGCTTCAGGTTAAGTACTTTGCTTCAGGATGAGAACAGAAATTGTGCTCCGGGAGCACGGTAGCAGCAGGAGGCCCCATTAGCTAAAGTGGTGCTTTAGGTTAAGAGCAGTTTCAGGTTAAGTACGGATCTCCGGAACAAATTAAGTACTTAACCTGAGGTACCACTGTAAATGCCTACGTTCCACAAAACTAGAGAGAAAATCTAATACCCACAGATGGACCATAATGGACATGCTTTGCTTGCAAAATAGCCCAGGTCCATTTTGTAAGAGCTCCATTTCAAAGGGAAGGACCACCTGATGATAATTTAGAATAATAATAATAATTTATTATTTATACCCCGCCCATCTGGCTGGGTTTCCCCAGCCACTCTGGGCAGTTTCCAACCAAATATTAAAAACAATACAGCATCAGACATTAAAAAAAACTTCCCTAAACAGTTGTCTTTTAAAAGTAAAATAGTTGTTTATTGCTTTGACATCTGCTGGGAGGGCATTCCACAGGGCAGACACCACTACCGAGAAGGCCCTCTGCCTGGTTCCCTCACTTCTTGCAGGGAGGGAACCGCCAGAAGGCCCTCAGCGCTGGACCTCAGTGTCCGGGCTGGATGATGGGGGTGGAGATGCTCCTTCAGGTATACAGGACCGAGGCCGTTTAGGGTTTTAAAGGTCAGTACCAACACTTTGAATTGTGCTCAGAAATGTACTGGGTCTATTTCAAAGGGATCTTTTAATCTTATTTTAATTCTATTGTGGCTTAATTGCATTTTAATGGTTCTCTTTTCTATGTCTTTAGCTTGTTCTACTTTATGTGTGTAAGCCACACATTGAGTCCCAAACTGGGGAAAAGGTGGGATATATTATGAAGGATAAGAATAAGGATAAGGATAAGTGAAATGACCTTTAACCCTGTCCCAAGCTGCAAAGTGCTTTTTAAACCTATGCCAGCAGCAACACCTTCAGCTTACCTTATTAACTCATTGGTAGCCAATGTAAGTCTTAATGCAGTGGTGTAATCTGTTGTTAATATTCTTCTTGACTGGGCAGTCAAACTACTGGCTTGGTCACACAGTTTGGTCACACTGGGTGTGAAGCTTCTGGGGCACTGTAGCAGGCACCACAACCGCGAAGTCCGACAGAAGGTGAGAGGTGGGGGGTGCTGGATTTTGCTGTCACCAAGGGTGCCACTGAAATTTGGACAGTCTAGGAGGCCATATATTGTTTAATGAGCCCAAGGCCTGGAACAGGCCTGTTTTTATTTGTTTATTATTTTCATTTCTATACCACTTCATATTTTTAAGAAAAATCTTAAAGCAGTTTACCGCACATTAAACATCAATAAAATAATCCAGAATCAAACACCTGGCACTAAAAATATGATAACGGAGGAGGAGGCATATGAAGAAGGGAGGTTTGGAGGGTGCCAACATCATAACAGGCCTTTTCTGTGGTGGGTCCTTATTTGCAGAATGATTTACCCGGCATATATTTTGGCACCACGTGAAAACATTCCTCTTTGGCTGTTAATGATTCTGTGACCTTTTAAAGCAGGATGGGTTTTGTCTTCCCCCCACTTTACTATTATAAAATTGTTTAATTTGTGTTTTATTCTTTAAACCATCCTGTGGTCTCTTGATGAAGGGGTGTATATAAATTTAATAAATAAAAATAGTGATAATCTATATATGACATGGCAAATGTCCACATGGATCAACTGTAAATTAGTTTTAATGATGGCACTGGAACAATTGTAGAGGGAACATGTTTCTTTGAACTGGAAACCTTTTAAGCAAACATAACTGATGGACAACATTAACCTAACATTTAAACCAAGGAATCTTTATGTAGAGAAAAGCATAGCATTTTGGGGGGACCAGAGATGTATTCGTAAATATGCCACCTCTGATTAATGGTCAATATCCTATCTTCAGACTCTCATTGGACATATTCCAGCTATTTGCTCAGCAAAATTAAATGGAAATAAAGCGTATTTCAGTCAACTGGATTTACTTCTGACTATCATGATTTCAGTTATTTGATTTTTAGTTATTTCTCTTTTTTAGCTGCTCTTTACTGTTCAGTTCAGGTCTGAGGACAATTATATAGCATTTAGGGGAGAAAATACAACCCAGTATCCCTGCGCTGGAGGCCAAGATAGAGAAGATCTCCACAGCCACCATGTATTTTCCTTTGGTGCTCAGAAACGTTGGAACAAAAGAAAGCCAAACACTGCAAAACACCAGCATGCTGAAAGTGATGAATTTGGCTTCATTAAAAGTGTCTGGCAGTCTCCGAGCAAAGAAAGCCACAACAAAGCTGACAAGAGCCAGTAATCCCATGTAACCAAGAATATAGTAGAACATGTGGGTTGATCCTTCATTGCATTCCACTACAATTTCTTCAGGAAGAGAATGCATGTCTAAATCTGGAAAGGGAGGGTCTGTACATAGCCATAGCATGCAAATACCTACTTGGATAACTGAACAGCTGAAAATAATAGAGTTTGAGAATCTTTTCCCCACCCATTTCCTTATTTTGGATCCTGGCTTGGTAGCCATGAAAGCCAAAACCACAGTGAGGGTTTTTGCCAAAACAGAAGAAACAGCTACTGAAAAGATGATACCGAAAGCAGTTTGTCGTAACTGACAAGTTAGTGTCTGAGGCTTGCCAATGAATAGCAAGGAGCAGAGGAAGCAGAGCAGGAGGGAGACAAGCAGAGTGTAGGTGAGGTTCTGGTTGTTGGCTTTGACAATAGGAGTCTTCCGGTGCTTGACAAAGATTCCTAACACCAACACTGTCGTTGAAGATAGTGACAGAGCCAAAACAGCCAAAGTGATGCCCAAAGGTTCATCATAAGATAAAAAGTTCAGATATTTCAGAAGGCACTCGTTTCTCTCTTTATTAGGATATTTATGTTCTTGGCATTCAAAACAATCATCCATATCTTTAAAAAGAAAAGAAAAAGTAATAGTATTTTAATCAACCTGCTCTTCCATATTATACTGTATTACCAAAGTATAATAGAGATATAGCATGGACTGATGTTATTGTTGATTATCTACCATGCTGGCAGATTACTAGCTAGTAATCTGTGGCTAGTATGAGGAAATGCTTAGCCCAGAAGTGCATTTGTTTCAAATGCAGGAAAGACCCTCGTAAAGCAGCACCATGAAAAATTAACCCCCCCAATTTCAGTTAGAAGGGGTTAGAAGATACATCTCCCTCTTGCCCCTGCTTCCTGGCCATATGCTTATCCAGGTTGAGGGGAAAATGAAAAACCCTCTTATTTAGCACCGCCCCCCCAAAAAACTATTTGACCAGAGGATGCAAAGTGGAGCAGGTGGTCTCTTAGTTGGCACTTGATAGGAAAGAGTGGGAGCATCAGGGTGGATTGGGTGGGCTGTGCAAATTTCTATCTAATATTCCTGATGGTGATTGTTGTAGGGTGGCCTAGGGTGGTGTGTGTGTGTGTGTGTGTGGTTTTTCTGTCTCTCAATGAAAGTTTTATCCAGCACTCTATAGGCCTCCCAGCTTCCCTTCCTTCCTGATCTGAAAAAGCCCCATGTCATTCCCCCCCCCTTTTTGAAGCATAGGCATGAGGGAAGCCTGCAGACTGCAGTCAACTGGTTAGATTACTGGCAAAATGAAATAAAATACACTCATGAACACTCTTCGGCCATCACAAATGGAATGTGAATAAACCTTGCAGATGAGAATTTCAGCAAAGTTTCTCTCCTGTGGTCATTTTCAAATGCAATTGCTCATAATGGATCAGCAAAGGTTTTGTTTTTTTGTTTTTGTTTTTTTAAATGGAAGTATTTATTATTATTTTGTGCCATAACCCTATGAGATACAAAATGGTTCTGAACATCCTTTAGAAAATAATGTCTCCTTACCCATCGCATTTGAAATCTTCCCCTCTGGACATGGAAGACACTCATAGCAACAAAATGGCTTGCCCTCCTTCTTTTTTCTGCTGAAACCTGGATAGCAGTAGTCATTACACAAGGCAAGGGGGATAGCCTGTTCATAAAAGAGAAGAGATAACATTTATAAAATCTCTCATAACAGTGAGGTTGCTGAATTTAACAAAGAGCATCATGTGCCTCTGATAGGGCTTTGTATGTTTATTCAACCAGAGCTAACACGAAAGGGTGAGGGGTCAGCACTCTTAGAAGATACCACTTCCTTTTAGCAGGGTGGTTTTTTTTTTGTTTTTTTTTTTGGTGGGGTCATGCTGAATGAATTGCTGAAAAGATAGGATCTGTGTTTTGAGTCATTCGGGAATCTTTTCCCTCACTCTAAATAAGTTGAGGTTTCCTCATATGTTCACCCTTTAAATTAACCCATTGTCCTCTTACAGAACTTTGTAGAGTTGTAATGCCAGCATGTGCACCGTTTAATACCTGGTAGGCTGGGATCACACTGGGGAAGAGAAGCCTTGGTGAGTAAAACCATTACAGAAAGAAGATCTAGCATTTGTGCAATTTCATATTGTAATGAACAGGTTGCTAAATTGTAACAAAAGTTCATATGCTTCACAGGGAGGTTGTATTCAGGGTGCTATTGATACTATCTCCTGAAAGAAGAGGGATGTTTTAAGCACTGACAGAGGATGGCACATCCTTTTTTCAGTGCTGTGTATGTGTGTGTGTTAGTGAACTGCTACAAAACAGAATGAAATAGTGTCAGGGGTTCAGAGAGAGAGGCACAGATGAGGGAGGAGACTGAGAGCGAGGGGGAAGGATCCCAGGGCGACGAGGAAGAGGATGGCAATGACTCGAGGGTTTCCATGAGTCTTTCCAGTGAATTGGAGGATTCCCAAAAGGGGGCGCCCCTGGTCAGGCCAAGGGGAGCCACAGGGGGGAATAGCCAGGAGCAGGACAGCAGCAGGGGAGCCCCAAGTGGGAGTTGGAGATCGGGACCGGCTTCTCCGCCGGAACGGAGTGAAGAGGGTGGAGTTCCCAGTGTGTCAGACGAAGCAGAGCAGGAAGCAGAGAGGGGAAGGAGATCGGGGCAAGACGTCCTGCCGGAAGGGGCGGAGAGTAGTACGGAGAGTAGTGTAACTGTCAAAAGGAAGGTCAGAAGCAGCGTACGCGCGCCAAGTTCAAATGTGGAGGCGCGCGGAAATGAGGAGAGCCCGGAGGAGGAGCCTGGTCCCAAAGCACGAAGGAGGGGGGAGCAGGCGTCTGGGGATTCAGCCTCGGGGGAATCCAGGAGGGAAGGAACCCAGGGGGGCAGAAAGACCCTGCGGAAAAGGAAGGACAGGAAGAGGTGGTCCAGCACAAGCCTCTTAAACTGGTGTAGAGGCGGGACTGATTCAGAGGGGACTTCAGCGGTCTAAGCCTAACAGACGTGGGGCCGCGCACCTCGGCTGTGGAGATAACAATGTTCTTCAATAAAAGCTTTTGTATATAAGCTGGGCTTGGCGTTGGTCTCTTGTGAGCTGGGACCTTGGGCGGCCCTGACAAATAGCTTTGTGGCTGTTGTTTTTTTTAAAATAATGGAACAAAAATGTTAAGAATAATAAAAAGAATAATAAAAAGAAACTTTGATCTCATACGGAATTAGGTCTGCGTTCCCTAAGTAATATCTGATTTGGGACCATCACACAGGAAATGATCCTTTGTCCTCATTCCAATTTATCTTCTCCCCTAAAACCAATCCTTTTTTTCTGGTGGTACTCACCAGTACACAGTGTTTGCACCTCCCCCTACAATCAGTGTTCAGCTGCGTGGGGAGCTGTGCCATGAGCAAAGGCCTGCTGGGGTCTGGTCGCTGCCACACACACTCACTCACACACACACACACACACACACACACACCCCGGGCTGGCTTGAGCACACAAATCTTGCTCCCCAAGGAGCCTGAGAATGGATGGTGCAGCATGTGATGCGCTTCCTCCATTGTGCGCTGTGCACTGCTGCTGGTCGTATATGTTCTGGTTGCCTAGATGGTGGCGCTCACGATGGTCAGGGCAGGAGCTGCTTTTGAGTGCCAGCACCTTTTTTTCTAGGAAAAACAGGTGCTACCTAAAATTGATTTTACAAAAGCGGTGGGGAAGGTCAAACAATATTTAGTATTTACTCCCTTATTCATTCATATGTTTTAGTTCTATTCCAGCTTTTCACAAATGGCTTCCAAGAGTAGGATTAACTGATCAACATTGTACCCTAGACTATCCAGTCTGACCCTACCTGGTTCAATTGGTTGTGCCATGTAATCATTGTCTCATTGATGGAGATCTGTCCTTCCAGTGGTTCTTGAGGCTCCATTCTTCCTACTTTCACTTTTAGGAAAGATTTGTTTGGGAAAGTGACCCAATTGATAATATCAAATCCAGCTAACAATTCACCCTTCTCATCAAAGGACACTTTGTCACCAGCACTGTTGTTGAATGAGATGCTCCTAAGAAAAGCATGAAGCTAGAGTAAAAGATGTTTAAGTCAGATTTTTGAAGTGTGAATGTGCTTTATATGCAATGTGCTCTGTGTGGCACTGCCCTTGAGATTGGTTTGGAAGCTGTAGCTGGTGCAAAATATCCCATACACTGGGACAGAGTATGCCTATACTGTATATTACCCCACTTTTTGAAGAATTGCATGGGCTGCCAATTAGCTATTGGGCTAAATTCAAAGTGCTGGTTTTGGCGTATAAAACCCTACACAGCTTGGGACTATGATACCCGAAATTTTTTTCTTACCCCTTATATCAGGGGTCAGCAAACTTTTTCAGCAGGGGGCCGGTCCACTGTCCCTCAGACCTTGTGGGGGCAGAACTATATTTTGAAAAAACAACAACCATGAATGAATTCATATGCCCCAAAAATAACCGAGAGATGCATTTTAAATAAAAGCACAAATTCTACTCATGTAAAAACACACTGATTCCTGGACCGTCCGCAGGCCGGATTTAGAAGGCAACTGGGTCGGATCCAGCTCCCGAGTATATAAGGCATGGGTTTGCCTACCCATGCCTTATAAACTCAATTGATCACTGCACTCTTCTTGGAGGGGCTCCTGCAGAAACCATCTTATCAGGAAGTACATTCCAAACAATCTAAGAAATTGGCCTTTAGTCTTCTGGCTTTAGTCTTCGGCCCAGTATACCTGAAGGATCATTTCCACGCCCATCATCCAACCTGGACACTGAGGTTCAGCGCCGAGGGCCTTCTGGCACTTCCCTCAGTGCAAGAAGCAAAGTTACAGGGAACCAGGCAAAGGACCTTCTTGGTAGTGGCACCCGCCCTGTGGAACACCCTCCCATCAGATGTCAAAGAAATTAAAATCTATCTGACGTTTAGAAGACATCTGAAGGCAGCCCTGTTTAGGGAAGTTTTTAATGACTGATGTTTTAATGTATTTTTTATCTTTTGTTGGAAGCCACCCAGAGTGGCTGGGGTATAAATAAATTAATAATAATAATAATTGCATATCATAAAACTAAATGTACATTGATGGTCCCATATAAACAAACAAACAAATATTGTCAATTTCATAGTCAGTTCCTAAAAATATAAATAGGCAGTAACATATGGTACATCACCTTTAAAAGACTTGTCTTTGAAATCTCCAGAAGGTCTCTATCCGCAATGGTTCTGTATCTGTTTCTAGATGCATATAAGGCATTTAGTGCATGTGCAACAGTGTATACAGCATTGTAAATGCTATAACTTTGGCTGGTCATACTCATTTCGAAAAAAGGTCCAGGAAGTCTCTCCAGCGTCTCCTTTCCTGTGCAGCATCCATTACCCATGTCAGTATCTGCAGTTAATGAACAGCTGAATGCTTGTTCCCAGAAGGCCCTGATAAAGCCATCTTCATCAGAGATGGAGGGATTCCGGATCTGAAGGAAATCTTTGAACCCCTTCACCTCAGTAGAATGAATGGCAAAAGACAAGGCACCGTGGAAAATCTTTACATCCAGATTGTGGAAAAATGGCTCCAATGAAAAGTCCCAATGGGCTGTCATAACCCACACCTTGCTTATGGGGATCTTAATATCCTTTTCAATTAGATTGAGCACTACTTGCAAAATCAACATCATGTGAGGATCAGCACTTGCAACACAGACATTGACGCTTGTCTCATTTAGTGAAGCTATTATATCCATATAAATGTCGTAAAAGTTAATCACACCTAAAATGTTGCTCTGTTTTGGCATCCTTTTAGCGAAGGCTGTACAGATACCATTCTGGGAAAAGATGTGGTCCATGGTCTGGATGAATTTTTCTCCTTTATCATCACCCATGGCCAGGATCCCAACCCATTTCCATTGAAAATGGAGCAGCAGCTTGACAATTCCGGTGTACTGATGCTCTTCATTCGGCACCATGCGATATAAGGGAGAGCGCTGAGTTACATCACTCACACCTGGTGCATATAAACAATAGGTGACCTAAGCAAGGAAAATAATGTTTGTTTCCATTGGGGGAAATGTACGCTTAATTATAATAGTAATAGTTTCTTTCATATTTGCTACTCAAAATTGTCCAGGCTAAACCCTTAGGCACCTTGTTTGCCCATTGGTATTTTAGTTTGCCCACAGGAATCTGTTTGGCTGCTGTGAAAAGAGTATTCTGGAACAGACAGACCACTGGGCTGACCTAGCAGGCTCTTCTTATGTTCTTATGCATGTGGGATCTCTCGCCACTTTTAACTTCACACAACATCTCAGAACATCCACCCCTCAAATCTTCCTTCCTTGCAGACAGAGCCAGTGGTAGCTCTGTATCAGGAAGTTTTTTAATGTTGGACAGTTACTGTGTTTTTATTATGTTGGATGCCACCCAGAGTGGCTGGGGCAACTCAATCAGATGGATGGAGTATCAATAATAAAATTGTTGTTGCTGCTGCTGCTGTTATTGCTGTGAAATATCAGCGGCACCCTGTCCAATGCTTATATTTGGTGCCTACATGGAGATGCCAGGAATTAAATCTGGGACCTTTCCTTTGTCATCCTACCTGTGGAATCTTGTAGAGGCCTAAGACAGTAGCTATGTGGAATGAGGTTTCAGAGTCAAGGCCTCCAATGACAGCAATTAGATTTTTCTGCATATCACAGTTGTAGTTGAGAACAATCCTCTTCTGATTAAAGAGAAGATTCAAAGTGTTCTGGTAAGTTATCTGTGCATCAAAGTGACTGTCATAGATATGGAACCCCAAAGTGATGTTGGGTAAGATCTTGCAGTTCTCATTGATCTCTTTTACAGCATACACCAAGGACAAGACATGCTGATATTTTTTCACCATCACACTATAGTAGAGAAGAGGGAAAAACTAGACTCATAATGCATTAACTGGCATTCTGTCTCGATATCTCCTTTCTATACTTGACTGCTTTTGTAGGAGCAGCTTTCAGCATTGCCTCCTGTACCTACATCATCTCAACATCAGCAAAGCCCTGGTGGGTCGATCTGGTCCAGCATCTTTTTTTCTACAGTGTCTAAGCAGATATCCATGGGAAACCTACAAAGAAAATATGTGAGCAATAGCCCTTTCCCACTGCCTCTTTCCCAGCAGATTATTATTCAGCTGTGTGCTGGCTATAAACCTGGGTGTAACACCCAGTAATCATTGCTGCTATTTTTCTAGAAAAAGAGGTGCTCGGACTCGCTATAAATACCTCCATTGTTCTCTTATAATGGCAATGACATCCACCTGAGAGGTGAGAGAACTGAGTTCCTGTGAATTCCAGCTGAAAAGAAAGCCCTGGTCATCATAGACTAGTAGGTTTCAATAGCCTCTTGAGAACATTTTTGTTGGTGGCCATCTCTACATATTGTGATAGTTAGTTCCATAGTTTATGTTTGGGTAAAACAAAAAAAATATTCCTTCCAGTAGCACCTTAAAGACCAACTAAGTTAGTTCTTGGTATGAGCTTTCGTGTGCATGAACACTTCTTCAGATATGCACACGAAAGCTCATACCAAGAACTAACTTAGTTGGTCTTTAAGGTGCTACTGGAAGGAATATTTTTTTTGTTTTGACTATGGCAGACCAACACGGCTACCTATCTGTAACTGGAACTATGTTTGGGTAAGTGGTGGTTATATATTGTCTGCCCAGAATATCTAACCATTCCGCTTCATTGGATGAGCCTCAGTTCTAAAATTGTGAGACAGGGAGGAAAAGAAATGTCTCCTCATTTAATCCAAACCATGAATAATTTTAGAAACCTCTGTAATGCCCTTGCCTTCCTCAACGTTGTTTTTTTTCTAAAGTAAAAGGTTTCAAAAGTTACAACCTTTTCCTTATAATGGAATTGCTTCAGTCTCATATGATTCCGGTTGCTCTTTTCTGTGTTTTTTTTATAACTCTACAATATCCTTTTCAAGACTTGAACTGCAGACCATCCCAAATGTACAAAGGTAGAGTGTACAAAGGCATTATGGTATTTCCAAATCAATAATATTTAATAAAGCCTTTTCAAAACTGTCACATAGAGGGCTGACATTTTAATTGAATCATGACATAGTCATGTCACTGTCATATCAGATCTCATCTCTCTGTGTGTGTTCATAGATAAATAATTTGCCCCAGAGTGCATCTGAGCTATGTTTGTCATTTGAATGCCAATTAAATTTTGGGGAAATATCCTTTCTCAACTCCTCACAATCCCTTTTTATTTTTTACAACCCATATCATTGCTTAACTTCAAAATATGTCATTCATGAAGAAGTTAAAAAGCATTGTTCCCAATACAGAACTTTGGAAGATCACCACTGATGTCCATTTCTTCTTCCTACTCTCTGTTTTCAGTTTGTCAACCAGTTAATGTCTTATTATCCCATGACTAATTAATTTGTTCAGAAGCCTTTGGTGAAGGCAATGCTTTTTTGAAAACTTGAGTAATTTCCAGAATATTGCATGGACACCTTTCTAAATGCTTTACTTATAAATTCTCTCTCTCTCTCTCTCTCTCTCTCTCTCTCTCTCTTATAATATAACCACTGAAGATTCACCTAACGGCATGCTTTTTAATAGCTAAGCTAATAATCATCATTCGATCTCTTGGTCTCACTACAACCAATACTAAACCAGAAGTTCTTCACAGTTCTCTCCAGTCAGTCTAACCATTAAAGTCATTGGAACTTATTTGCTGTTTTGATCCTTTCTGACAGCAATGATAATTGGGGTGTATGCATTGGGCTAGAGAGGGGAAAGCTAAATACATAGTCATAGGGTTGGGTTTAAATTCTAGAAGTATGTGGTGTGAGATAAATTATAGAATCAAGTCTAACAAGGAAACTACATGTGCATCCCCGCCACAAAAAAATTGAACACCATTCCCTCCAGTATAGAAACCCAAGTGGTTATTTTTTTTTAAAAAAAATCATTGCTAATAGGACCTTTTTATATAATTTCTCCAAGGAGAATGAGGCAGCCAATCACTATTAGTCATGATAGCTACATTATACATCCAGGTTCACAAAACAGTCAAATGTGTGCAATGGAAAACAAGACAATGGCTTCCTTACACAGGTTCAACATCATACTTTGGTTTTGGCTGTGTTTCGAAGTCTGCACCCTCTGAAAATGAGAAGATCTGGGAAGTGATCCCACCAATGATAAAGCTCCCTGGCTGATAATACTGGTATCTCACCCGGAGGGGATCATTCATGGTACACAAAGCTGGATTCATATTGCAATCAGTTTGAGGCAACAGCAGCAACACCAGGAGTTGTAAGGACAAGAAATACCCTGTCATCCAGAAGGAAAAATGGTCTTCCTTTGACAAAGAACTCCCGGTTCCTTTCTTGATCATTCTCATCTGTCACCAACCTGGTTACAAAAGCATAGTCTCATTGAATCTAAAGCCTTTTAATAAACTGATCTGCTACCTGCCCTCTAAACTTAAAGGGGGGGAAAGGTCCCCACAAAGGGCGACGCAGTACTGTAGGAACTCTCCCCCCTTTCTGACTAGTTCGAGGGCTATTATATATACATATTTAAAAGAATAATATGGCCTGTTGTAGTAAGGACAGTGAATAATTGGGATCTTAGATAATTACACAGGATGAACAAGCATCTCCCCAAAGTATTGCATTCAGAAAGGCACCAGCTGTTGCAGGATTGCAAAATAAATATAGACCATTCCAGTTCTTAATTAGTTTTACAATGTTAGAACAATTGTAACTTCCACTGTTATTGCAGTACCATTTGTTCCCCCTGGAAATAGCACAGGTTTTTGATGCCTGGGCAAGAGGAGTGGGAGAAATCTATAGGAAATTGGGTAGAGTGGGTTTGCCCTGCTTTTGTGGCTCAGATTTTTTTTTAAAAAAAATTATTTGTTAGTTTGTTTGAAACATCTTTTGTCTTGTCTTAATAAAATAAAATAGAAATGTATTTCAGTGTCTCAGAGATAAACATTGTTTGACTGATTGATTGATTGATTGATTGATTGATTTGAAACATCTTTTTAAAATATATATTTTTTAAAAAAATACTTGCCAGGTACTGATTGCAGTATACACGTTTCAGTCTCAGTTTTGGTGCAAGGTGACTATAGTAATGATGGTAGCATCTGACGAGGATCCCCCCCCACAAGGTGTAAAATAGACACTCCCCCACAGAGAAACCCTTGCTCTCTAAATTAGGTAAGCCACCTCATCTTGAAAACCCACTCTTTAGACCTAAATCGGAACAAGTGCTGTTTCTTCCAATACAACTCTAAACCATGGGTTTTCATGGGGAAAATTGGTGGGGCAAATGAAGGTGTGGATGAATCCTATGTATCATTAGGCTTGGGTCCTAGTTTCCTGATTGACTGCAGCCGGCTCCAGGTCAGCTATGGTCCAAATCTGATAGACATAGGTGGTGATCGTGCCAGCAAGGGCACAGAAGGGTTGGAGTTAAGATCTGATCAGGAAAGGCTGGAAACTCTATGTTGCTACTCAATGATAGGAGTTTCAAATGAGTTTCACAGAGTGGACAACTGACAAGGTTGGCAAAGTTTGGAAGGCCTGCTGTGGGTCCTTGGTTTGTGAGCGGAGTGCAGCCACGTGTTGCAAAAGCCATGAGGATAGCATCTGACAAGGCCCTATGAAAGGTTGTTCTAGAACTGAGAAGCCACCACCAAAATATCTAGTAGCCAGCCATCCATTTTACATTTAATTTATTTGGTGGCGGAAATTGGAGCAGAGCCTCTATCAATGAACTTCATGATCAGTTAGAGTTGTATATGGCAAGGCAATATTTCAATAGCTTGGTCCAAGATTTTATGGGCTTTAAATGTAAGAATGAGGATTATTGGGGGTTACCATGTCAAATAACCTCATTTGAAATTCTTCTTGAGCAAAATAATAAAACCAAAATAATAACAAAGCTATATTTAGTACTCTAAATATATACCAAACAATCTCTCCGTACTCCTTATATAAAAGGAAATAGGAATGGGACTTAGCAAATATTGGGTTAACAATCCTCAAAGCAGAATGGACATTGACATTTAAAATATTCCAAAAACATATATTAATGTAAACCTGAATGAGAATTATCTTAAGGCAATTTTCCAATGATACTAAATTTCACACAGAATCAGTAAAGTTTATGGCCAAAACATGAATAGCTACTGAATTAGCACAGATTTAATACATATCTTTTGGAGTTGTGAAAAAGAAATACTTTTCTGGACAGAAGTACTAAATGATTATATAAACAAGCACAGGCTACAATCTTCCAAGAAATCCTACAATAACTCTCCTTTATTCTGAACTCATTAATACTGATTTGCAGCTGATTAAAACATGGCTAATGAAAACAAAACAGAGCAATACCCAAAAATGGAAAAATAAAGGCCCTCTTACTATAACAATTAGTTAAGAAAAAGCTGTCAAACTATCTCAATGATAAAACTTACATAAGAGAGAATGCAATAAATAATAATCAAGAAAACAAAGTTATTGGGAGCTGGGTTTTATTTTGACCTTTCGGAGTGACAATGTGAACACGACTTTCCCTTTTAATCTGTCCACTATACTTCACAGTGTGTGTGTGTGTGTGTGTGTTTGCTATGTTGCCCCTTTCTTCTTTCACATGTTATTTGTGGCCACCCAACCTCTGCTTTCAAAGGTACCTAGAGAAGGGGGGATACATATGGCATAGAGCTAAAATTGACCCACTGTAAGTTTGTAAAAATTTCAGCCCTGAAACAAGGGTACAGAGTAAAACATATTTAGGATTGAACACGAAATAGAAAACTAAACATTTAGCATTGATTAAATAATTCAACCAAAGTACAACAACTTTATTTAATGGAGTTCATTGGGACATGAGATGTATCCCTAAATATGCCACATCTGATTCAAAGTAAACATCATGTTTCAGAATATCATAGGGGCACATTTGAGATATTTAGTCTGTATACGTAAATGGGGCTAAAGCATATTAGAAACAGTTGTGTTTACTCCTGAATATTATTATCTCAGTTGTAATATTTTTACTTATTTCTCTTTTTTAGCTGCTCTTTACTGTTCAGGTCTGGCCTCAGGATAATTATGTAACATTTAGGGGAGAAAATGCAACCAAGTATTCCAGCACTAGAGGCCAAGATAGAGAAGATCTCCACAGCCACCATATACTTCCCTTTGGTGCTTAAATAAGTTGGAACAAATGAAAGCCACACACTGCAAAACACCAAGCATGCTAAAAGTGATAAATTTGGCTTCATTAAAAGTGTCCGGAAGCTTCCGAGCAAAGAAAGCGACAACAAAGCTAACAAGAGCCAGAAATCCCATGTAACCAAGAATATAGTAGAACATATTGGGTGAGCCCTCATTGCATTCGACTATGATATACTCAGGCAGAGAGTGCATGTCAAGATCTGGGAATGGAGGCTCAGTACCCAGCCATAGCATGCAAATACTTGCTTGGATAAATGAGCAACAGAGAATAATAGAGGTGGAAAATCTTTTCCCCAACCACTTCCTCATCTTGGATCCTGGTTTAGTTGCCATGAAAGCCAAAACAACAGTGAGGGTTTTTGCCAAGACAGAAGAAACAGCCACTGAGAAGATGATACCAAAGCAGTTTGTCGTAAATAGCAGGTTGGGATCTGAGGCTGGCCAATGAATAGCAAGGAGCAGAGGAAGCAGAGCAAGAGGGAGATGAGCAGGGTGTAGGTGAGGTTCCGGTTGTTGGCTTTGACAATTGGAGTCTTCCAGTGCTTGATGAAGAGTCCAAGGACAAAAGCAGTGACTACAGAAAAAGCCAGAGCCAATGCAGTCAAGCTGATGCCCAAAGGTTCATCATAAGACAGGAAGTTTAGGTCCTTGGGAAGACACTGGTTTCTTTCTTTGTTAGGATATTGATCTTCTGGACAGTGGAAACAATCATCCATGTCTTGTTTTAATAAAATAAAATAGAAATGTATTTCAGTGTCTCAGAGATAAACAATACTGAAGTCCACTAAGGACACTTCTTTATTAGAGATTATGCATATCCCTGCACATCACCATTTAGTTTGCTGTGTTTCTGTTCAACTGAGGATTGCACAAGCGCAAAAGCATCTTACACACCCCAGAATTTAAGTTGGGCCACTTATAATTCTAGGTTTTTGTAGGTTTTTCCTTAAAAGAAAGACTACTCTCCAAGGGAATTGGAGGAAATGTCATGTGCTCTTTAGCATAATTATAATTCTTGTAGAGGTATCGTGTTTATTTCTTTCACCCAGTTACCCATGAAGCTTGAGACATTTCTTGGGTGCTATCTATCTTGCTGAAACAATGATACAGCCCCTCTAATGTCAGTATATATGATAGCTCTTAATATGCTTTACAGAATAATGTGTACAACCTCTCTTGTCCGAAATCTTCCCTTCTGGACATAGAGCACAGTCATAGCAACAAAATGGTTCTCCCTCCTTCTTTTTTCTGCTGGAACCTGGGTGGCAAGGGGCATTGCACAATGCAAGGGGCACAGCCTATTCACAGAAAAAGAAGATACAGCATTTTTTTTTTAAAAAAACCCTCCTATGGTCAAGAAATTGCTGGTGTCAACAAAGAGCATCATATATCACTGAGAGGATTACGCATGCTGATCAGACTACAGCTCATTTGAAGAGGGTAGGGTTACAGCACAGTTAAAAGTTCCCGCTTCCTGTTGGCAGTCTTTTTTGGGTGTGTGTGTGGGGGTGTGGGGGTGTATGAAATATTTTAAAAGGAACTCACACTTTGAGTCACTTAAGAATCTTTGCCCTTACTCTGAACTGACCTTGTTTCCCCTTATTGACCCCTAACATTGTTTGATCGCCCTTTAAACTAATCAATTGCTATTATTAAAGTTTGCTTTCTTTGCCTTCAGTCATCTGAGTTTTGTAGAATGCTACAAAAAACTGTGTGTTCACCACTAAAACAAAACAAAACAAAAGGTTAAAATTAAATGGTATCTTTCTATTTAACCAGATGGACTATTTTCAAAATGGAAGTTCTATATTGTTTCCCTTAAAACTGTAAATACGTAACTCTCAAAGTGGGCCCTTTTGCTACCCATATCAGTCTCTAATGAAAGTTTATCTCCTGTACCATAGCAAGTTTGATTTCAGGAAGTATGTGGGCTGAAAGGGGGGGCAGTGCCAGGAGACGATGTGGATGCCATGAATAGAGTCAGAAATATGAAGTCCGT